CGACAAGATTAGAACCCACTACAATACACAACTCACTCTGAAGAAGTGCCCATCAAACTTGTACAAAGTAGAGAAATAGATCGAAGATCATACAAAGCTAATCAATTATACACCAAATAAACCTCAAAAGATTCAATTAAATTCAATGAACAATCTGATCATAAAGTGGCAATTCATCATATCCCAAGAAATACACCACTGATTATATTGAATTGATCTCGATCATCTGAGACAGCTCAAGGCAACATGGCATTGAAGATCAGAGAGAGAGAGAGAGAGCCATCTAACTACTGATATGGAGCCTAGTGTCCTAAGGGAACTACTCACACATGGTCATGGAGGCAACAAAGTTGATAAAGAAGCCTCATGTGGTGGATTCTCTCTCCGACAAAGAACCAGAACATGCCTCCATATTGGATCTCCTCGAAACAAGAACTTGTGGCGTCGAAAAAAATCGGGTAAAAATGGTACTGGGGGTTTTGGGATTTATCGGATTTATAGGTGGTGGAATGGACGTAATGGGGTGCTCGTGAGACCCACGTGACCATGGGGCGCGCCCTAGGGCCTGGGTGTGTGGAGGCCCTGTGGATCCCCTCGCATCCCTCCGATGTTTTCTAGAACCTCCGTTGCCCGAAACAAATCGTATGAAATTCTTAGGGTTTTTTACCTCATCGAATATCGATTTTCTGAATCAAAAACATGAATAAAACAACAAGTGGGACTATGCACTGAATTAACAGCTTAGTCCAGAAAAATAATATAAAATGCTATAAAAAAGTATTCAAAAGTTGTAATATAATAGCTTGAAAATAAAAAAACATAGACACGCTTGAGATGTATCAACACCCTCAAGCTTAATCCCTCCTCATCCTCGAGTAGGTAGATAATAAACAACAATTTTTTTGATATTGATTGCTACCTAGCATAATATTGATCAAATAATGTGATGTGGTATTAACTCAGGATAAAAGTGATGCATGGCAATAGTCTATCAATTTGACATTAAAACAATGATACATGAGCACACAAATAAAAAATCATTGCCTTTTGAGAACAAAGATGCTAAAGGAAGTGATGTGATGTACAAGCTCCCACAATTATAGCAGTGAGCCTTTTTTTGAACTGCAATATAGCAGTGAACTTCAGCATATTCAGTTGTAGCACCAGATGTAACTACAACATTTATGTTCTTCCTCTGAACATTATTGCTTTGTTGTTTAATATTCCAGTTATTTGAAACATCATTATATGTACCCAGTTTTCTAGGTCAGAACATCTTGTTATTAGCAAGAATCACTTTCATCATAGTTGTGTGACCACAAAATAAGGCTCTCTTATTAGCATTAACATGTGATTCAGAATATCATGCTCACTTCGAGTGATAGAATTGCCAAATTACATGATAACCTATAAGTTCCCCCTATTATTTGTAGAGTAAGGAAAAGGTCCGCATAACATATTTTGTGGGTCCAAAATAAGCCAGATCGTTTATTTGTTTTCCATTGCATACTAGATTTAGAGGAAAAAAAAGATCTACACTACAAGCTATTCAAACTGGAGTTCAAACTCATGTGCACCCTGATGAAGAGTGAAATTGAGAAATAGTAAAAAACTAAAAAAATGATATTTTTTGCAACAAACATGTTCATGTACTCAATTTGTTCATTTTTTAAGAAATAACATTTGTGCTGCTCTACACAGAAAAAAAGAAAGAAAATATTGGTGTTCTTTAAATCTTTGACATTTTTGGTGCCCTAGTTAAAAAATCAGTGTTTAAAATGTTTCAAAAAAAGTTTGTGTAGCAACGACTTTCTTAGAGCACTAAAAAGTGCACTTACTTACAAAAATTTGCACACGGTTCAAACACACGAACATGTTTGTTGCTCAAAAAGAAGATTTGTTTGATTTGTTTTATATTTTTCTTTCTATTTTTTGTTTTTTGGGGGGATATGAGCCCGGGAGCCAAAACATCCTCCCCGCTACTTATTTTGATAAAATCAAGCTCTAAAAGGTAGACCTAGGCATAGCACGAGCTAAAATAGTTCTAATTTAGTGTATTAAATTTCAAATAAATTATTGCTTATTGTGTGTGTGTGTGTTGCTCCCTAGCTCACCAAGGATCACGTTGCAGTCATTGTTATTCTATTTTGGGTTGTTGGATGAAGATCTGATGGTCCGGATTAGAAGTGGGTGGAGCAAATGATTTTTAGGTACCTGACAAATAGAGGCTCCCCTAGAAAGATGAAGAACGCAAGCTTCAAATGGACGGGCCAGAGGAGGAAAAGGCGTGGTTCTTTCCATGGGTGATTCTAATCGTGAGCAAGATAGAGAACACGGCCTTCAAATGGCAAAAACATAGGAGCAAGAAGCGTCGTTCATCCGAGGGGTGATTCTGTCCGCCAGAAAGATGAAGAACGTGAGCTTCAAATGGACAAAGCAGAGGAGCAAGAAGTCGTGGTCCTTCCCATTGGTGATTTTAATGCGAGCAAGATCAAGCACGCGAGGTCCAAATTGATGAACCAGAGGAGGAAGAAGGCGTGGTTTTGCTTCCTTCGGCTAGCTTTGTTCTCCATCAAGATCAAGCACGCAAGGTTTGAATGGAGGAAGAAGGAGAAATGCAAGAAATAACCACTAAAAATCTGGTGGTGTCGGAGCACGTGCGGTTGCAATGGAGATTTGTGAGAAACATCTACGTGATCATCGCAACTTTTCCTGCCATCTCAGCAGTGGTGGAGCTTGACTAGGATGTCAGGGGTGGCAAAATGCAAAGTATAGATGTTTGTGGGGGCTAACAAGGAGATTTTCTTCTAACTATGTCCCTAAAAATCCTTCAGGGATTTTCCCTAGGCTGGGGGGGGGGGCACAGCCCCCTCAGCTATACACATAGCTATGGCCCTACATCTCAGTACATTGTATGTCATATTACTTTACACATTTTTTGCGGGAAATATTACTTTACACATTCAAGATGGGATCCAAAATCCTCTCTGCACATTGTATGTCATATTACTCTACATATTCAAGATGGTTAGGATTTTATTAACTTTATTATTTGTTATTGCAGATGAAGCGATTTGTCTGTCTGCACATCTTAGTGCGACTGCCATTACAAACCTTGTGGTTTTCACATTTTGGGCGGCAAACAAGCGATATGGTTTCACCTTCTGTCCACCCTTCCTCATTTGCCGTTGAACGCCCGTGATAGTTTACATCGCATGCGAGGTAAAAATAACACCCCTGCCGCTTTTGTGTGTCAAATTTAATATATCCATTTCAATTCTAATTATGAAGATCACTTGGTAGACTGAGACAATTGACAACACCTTATTCTCTTGCATCTCCACCATTGTATTGTGCGCCTTTGTGGTGGATTACACAAAGAAGATGGTGAAGAAGTATAGATGCGACAAGTATGTGTGTGTTGGGATACCAATGTGCATGGGCACGGTAAACATGACCCATGTCTTGGTGAAGTTTTTCTACAAGCAGGTGATACTTGACTCAACTCTGGAGAACTACGTCGTGGATCTACCGACATTCAACTTATCTTTACCACTATACGGTCTATAGGGTAGTTACTTGAAAATCATCATAATTCTTGTTTGGATATTAGGCCATTCAAAGTATATAGTAGTTAATATAATTTCTCATACATTGAACAACCAACCACTGCTTGGTCTGTCCCACAAAATTTAATTACATATTCTTGCTTGGATACAGATAATTGTATAGGTTTTCATACATTAGGCAACTCTATGCTCAAATCTTGGCTCTGCATCCGTGGGCAAGGAACGCCAGCCCTACATGTCTGACGATGACTAGATTGGTTAGATTTTACTACCAGATGCTCTTATCGGATAGGGTTATTTTCAAGTGAAGTTCCCGACAAATATCATTGTTCCACCTCTGGTTGCCTTGCACGGCCGTGCTCCTCGCGATCCAGGCAGTTGAGCTGCTGGAGAGATAATGCAGCATGTGTTAGGCATAGTTCAAAGCAAAAGCACCAAGGATCAATCATTAGTACACTTGGGCCTCATTCAGTTTGAAGGATTTTTATAGGAAAAACATGAGAACAAGGATTTTAGAGGAAAATTTTCTATATATGCATTCGGTTTGTAGGAAATGCGTACAAGAATTTCGTAGAAATACTATTCATTTCCTATGCTTCTGGAGGAAACTACACATCTACTCAAAGCTCATTTTGCATGTAGGAACGAAGCAAGTCAATTCCTTAGAGTGGCAAGTGCTATCCTATCAAATTCCTACACCACTCTAAATTCCTACGTTTAGATTTCCTACAAACCGAATGAGCCTTGAATGTATACAATGGCTGGATGAAACTGCAGGTTGGAGATGTGCTCTGCCCCGCCTTTAATTTTTAGTTGTCGACTTGTTGACAGTGCTGCTAACCTTTTCAGCCTACACAAACAAATAATAGCACATCAGACAAATGTAACAAACACCACATAGAACAGAATAAACAGGCTGAGATTGCCTCATTTGTGTACCGCTTTCTTGATTGGTTGCTTGCATTTGCGGAGGAACTTGCCGCTGCTGCTCGTAGACACCGAATCCTCAAAGCCGTATCTGAAAATTTACAATTGACACTCTCCGCAAGAGTTGGGCAACGAGCTAACCTAATTACACATGTGTAGTACTGTACAAACGGCGATGAGCATATGCATATACCCGGGAGCACATCATGTCCAACAAGGACAGATGACGCACATGCCACTGTTGGAGCTGGACCAGAGATTGATGGACAGTAGTAGCTTGCACGTAGTAGTACTACGTACAACCACCATGAATTTTACTCGGAAAACACAGTCCCCGATTATCATGGGCAGCCACATATGACACAGTACGACACGCAGCTCCAAAGGTGGGTGTCGCCATCTCTCGCCCACAGCCTCGCCTGCTCTTCGGTCCATACTCCGATGCACGCGCCGTGAACTTGAAGCAGCTGAGAGCTCCGACCTCGCGCGCCGCCCCGCCCCGCCATGAAGTCGTCGTCTCAGAGCCACAGCCCCAGGACCCCGTCGCCGCGCGCTCGCGGCACGGCGGCGGCCCCCGGCGCCGACCACGCGCGCTCCTCCTCCGAGCCATGGGTGCTCGCATGCGTGGATGACACGTGCGTCAACGACGTGGAGAGCTTCGCGCGCACCGTCGCCGCCGTGAAGTCCAAGCCCCGCCCCGACCTGCTCCCGAGCGTGCTGTCCCACTACGCTGCCAAGTGGCTCCCGGACGTGGCCACCACGTCCGCCTCCGGCCGCTTCCTGCCCCCGGAGAGCCCCACCGCCACGTGGCTCAAGAAGCGGCTGCTCCTGGAGACCCTCGTCGCGGCGCTCCCGCCGGACCCGCCCAGCGGCGCGGCCGCAGACGACGGCATCACGTGCGACTTCCTGCTCAAGCTGCTGCGGGCGGGGAGCATGGTGGGCGCGGACGCGGCGCTGCTGCGGGAGCTGGAGTCCCGCGCGGCGCGGCGGCTGGACCAGGCGACGCTGGCGGCCGTGATGATACCGGCGTTCGGGCACGCGCCGGGCGGGTCGACGCTGCTGGACGTGCCGCTGGTGCTGCGGCTGGTGCGCGGGTTCCTCAAGGAGGGCGGCAAGGGCGCCGGCGGCGGAGCCGGGGCCAGGGTGGCGAGGCTGGTCGACGCGTACCTGGCGGAAGCCGCGCTGGAGGCCGAGCTGCGGCCCGCCGAGCTCGAGGAGCTCGCCCGCGCTGTGCCCGCCCACGCGCGCGCCGCCGACGACGCGCTCTACCGCGCCGTCGACACCTACCTCAAGGTGACCATGCATGCATGCTTAACTCCGTTTCCATTTTTATCTTTCTACGATATTGCGCTTTGTACTTTGGGTCAATGGCCAGAAGACTGCGTGAAAACTTGTGAGGCGCGCAGTAGTACAGTGTTTCTGCGTTTGACCACTACATTTTGCATGGGACAGCGCACCAGCTGGGTAAAAATACATGAGTATAGAGTAACCTCCATGATGGCATAAAGATCATAACAAAAAAAAATGATACGGTTAACAGAAATACTCCCTCCATCTCATAATATAAGAATGTTTTTGATATTAATGTAGTGTTAAAAATGTTTTCTTATATTTTGAGACAGAGGGAGTACGTGAGAACGAGGGGAGAATCGCGCAAGTAGAGTACGCACAGTTGAAAACACTGTTTTACATTCCCGTCCGCATTCATTCATCTGTCGCAGACGCCAGGAGATTTTGTCATAAAACCAAACTGAAAATGCCTCATCATTAGCCGGAGTTACTATGCCTGTTGGTGTGTTCGGTCACGGGAGCTCCGACTGCTACACAACAAAATGTTGCCTGTTGTCACGCATATCTATACTCCGGTGCCCTTTTGTTCTCATCCACGACACTGTTTGTCCTTTGTTTTCCCGAGTCCTGGTAGCAACTTCAGTGCTCACACTCACAGTACAACTTACTACAGTGCAATATTCCCTTCAGATTCATCTCATAATGTGTGGACGAAGTTGTCAGACTGGGGATCTTGCAGCACGGCCAGAGCATGTTCTGTAGATACTTGCAGCCATATATGGCTGCCATGCAGACACGATTCATCTTTTAGGTGGTGTTTGTTTTTCTAGTCCTAGAACTTTTTCTAGTCCATGGGACTTTCTGAAAAAGACTCTCAAGGAGGTGCTTCTAAGAACTTTTAGCAAAAAGTCCCCAAAAAATTCCATCCTGTTTGGTTTGCTAGGGACTTTTTCTAGTCCCTACACCAAAAAGTCCCTGAAAACAAACACCCCCTTAGTTTCATGGGCATTGCCGCATGCGTATCACAAGTTCAGAGCTTTTCGGAGCGAAATGCATCCGGACAAATCAAGGTGGATGTCATCCGCTGCTCCATTGTTCTTCGCATTTCACAGCGTTGTGTTGTCCCTATCATATTCATCCATCCCTAGTGTTGCCATGCGTTGCTGCTCTCTGGAGAGAGGCGGATTCGCGTGCAAAATTAGGACAAGAAAAAGAAAAGATGTTAATTTTTTAAAAAAATTACTTGACTGAATCTTGTTCAGTTCAATGTTGGCATTTTACAGTTTCTCTGTCTTTTAACTAGAGGTAAACGCTTGGTTCACCTCTAGTTGGTTTAACTAGATGTTCTGAATTTATATTATAATATCAGGTTTATCTCTCTCTACTCTGACGCCTCAATTCTCTGAAATCTTATAGAATTCATGTGTTTAAAAAATCATGTTGCAATTCATTGGGCGTGGCATCACAATCCTACGTTCTTTCTATTTCAAGATTTATAAACTCATGACCCGCAAAAAAAAGATTTATAAATTCCTACAATCCGAAGAATCCCCGAAAGGGTGGGCTAGAGGAGGAAGAAGAGTGCCCAACCGTTCAGTTTCTATCCAACCACTAGGACAAAATCGACTTAGGACGATTTATTTTTTCCATATAAGCAAGTGAGGGAAAGTGTGTACCATGCAAAACTTAGGCCTATGGACCATGCACATTTTTATTAGGGTGTTTAAATAGTTTGACCTATATTGTGTCAATGGAGGTCAGGGCCCCACGAATCCTTCTCCAGGGAAATTATCAAAGTGGGGGAAAAGTGTGGCGGATGATCAAATTTCCCTGCAAAACCGATATATGCTCCTTATTGTTGGCGACCCGAAGCGAACAGGCGGTCGGTTTCCCAGCCTCTCCTTGTAGTCGGCGCTGATCTGCTTCATCTCATGTGGCCTTGTTGGCGACCCGAAGCGAACAGGCGATCGGGTTCCCTGCCTCTCCTTGTGGTCGGCACTGATCTGCTTCACCTCTTGTGGCCTCAGGTCCATGGACGTGCGACGAATCCCAGCTCTTGCCGGCGGGAGGGTTTCAATGTTTTTTTAATATGGTTAGGGTTTGTGTCCTGCTTAGTAAGGCGAAGCGGCAACTGCACCGGTTTCTTGAAGATGAAATATGGTTCTCCCTACTTGGCACCCCCATCCTGACGGTGCGTTTAGAGTCGTCGGAGGGTGTGTGGAGGTGTGTCTCCGACGGATCCGTGTGATTCAGTCGATGTTGTCTTTGGTGGATCCGCTTAGATCTAGTTTGCGTTCGTGTGTATATGGATAAGTGACGGTTGCTATTCTAGTGTGTTGGTCATATGCGACCTTAGTACGACGACTTCACGATTTTCTACTGCAACAAAGTTTGTCCAACTTCAGTCACGGAGGGCAACAAGGCGACGCCCTTCCTTTCATTCCGGTGCTTATATTCATGGTTAGATGGTTTAAGGACATGAGTGGATTTGTACTCCCATAATATTGACGATTGATTACATAAAAAAAATCATCACGAGAAGTTGTTCGTTTCCAATTTCGACTGATGTACCAGGCACACCCAGGCGCCGGGAAAGAGGAGCGCAAGTCGCTGTGGAGGCTGATCGACCCCCGGAAGCTGTCGGCGGAGGCGGCGGCGCACGCGGTCCAGAACGACCGGCTGCCGGTGCGCTCCGTGATGCAGGTGCTCTTCTCGGAGCACGGCAAGCTGAACCGCCTCGCCGACCTGGGCGCCTCCTTCAGCGGCGCCAGGGTCCCCTGCAGCCCGGCGGCGGCGCTGGACCTCCACTCCGGCAGCGGCCGGTGCCCCTCCAAGCGCGAGGCCCTGGCGCAGCACCAGGAGATGCGCCGCCTGCGCGAGGACGTCGCCAGGCTCCAGGTGCGTTCGCCGGACATTTTCCAACTCCGACGGCAGCTCTCATCAGGTGCTAACGGTGACATGTCTGGGCTGCAGGTGCAGTGCAGCGCGCTGCAGGAGCAGGTGGAGAGGCTGGGCTCGGAGAGGAGGCGCCGCGGCGGCGGCGTCGGCGTCGGCGGCTTCAAGTGGAGCACGCTCTGGTTCGGCGGCGGCGGCATGGGCGGCGACGTCGCGAGGATCGAGGACTCGGAGAGCGGCATGGAGCGGCAGACGCCGGCGAGCGGGAAGAAGGGCAGGGCCAGCATGGCCACGGCGACGCCCACGCCGACGCGGCGGACCCCCAGGTGGCGCAAGTCCATGTCATGAGAGGAATCTGAAGCCGGCAGCGGCGCTCAATGTTTACTAGGGTTCTTCATAATTTGTCTCTCCTTTGGTTACAGAATTACAGTTTCTAATTTGGTACTAATAGATCAAAAACTATATGAATTTAACAGTTTATAAGTCTCTCTTTCTTCACAAATCATGAAATAGTCGTACACACGCCAATCTGATTGCTGCAGATCACTTACTATAAATGTTTCAGAGATTACTGACAGAGTTCTTCAAACCTTTGCGAAACAGAGAGTTCTTCAGACTATGCCTCGCTCACAGAAACATACTTATAATGTAAGAATTGGGTACTATCTTTTTTTCACAGATCAACAAATAGTTGTACACACACACACACCAATGTGATCACATGAGGGTGATCACGAAACTAACCACAAATGTTTCACAGGCAGAACCTCAGACACTAGTCTGCAAGCTATGCATCACTAACTTATTCAGCTACAGAAACAAATAATAGCACTTCAGACAAATGTAACAAACACACACACATGGAAAAGAATAAACACAGGGCTGAGATTGCCTCATTTGTGTACGGCTTTCTTGATCGCCTGCTTGCATTTGCTGAGGAACTTGCTGCTGCTTGTAGACACTGAATCCTCATAGCCGTATATGCGATCATCGTCGCCACCCACCTTAGGTTTCCTGCCTGCACAGTCCGAGCCTCTCCTCATTCCCAGGATCTTGGAGGGAGAGGATGGCAGCGACCGGAAACCCCTACCGCTGTCGGACCTCGGGAACCATATCTTCCTTTCCACTTTCTCCTCCTTGATGTCAAAGCTACCCCTGCATCTTGGTGTGCCATGGTGAGCAGCAGCACTCTCACCACCGACGTCGACGATCTCGTCGACACATTCAGTGATCTCATCAACACATTCAGTGATCTCATTCCTGCAGCTCTCGTCTTCGTCATCGATTCTGCTTTGAATTTCCTGCTCATCGTCCGAACCGTTCTCCTCGGCGGCATTGTGGTCTTCCGAGGAACGGCACGCCGCTTCATTCCCTTCTTGTTGGTCCTCCATGAGCATGTGGAGCCACTTATCAACATTGCCCTTGCCTCTGTAGTTCATGTTTTCATTGTCTTCTGATCTGGCAACACGTCGAGGATGAAGCATTTCATCATCCTTTTGGACTGGCAGTGACTGCTCTGTGTGGTACCTCGGCGCCCCGTACACGCCGGTCGCTCTATATGGAGGACTTGGTGGAACTGAGGGGGTCCTTGGGAATGAGACTGTCTGGCTTGCATGATGAGACCTTTCGGTCTCGGACTCGAGCATGGCTGCCTTGCCCTTACCATCTCTTGACTTGATAGGTGTACCAACACCCCTTGATGCCATGGTCTCCTTTCTTTCCCTTCCCCTGCTACGGTGCCGCTCTCTGATCGCCGATTGTTCTAGTTTCTCCCTCACCGATGCTCTTCCCCTTTCAGTGTAACTTCTGTTTTCATCAGTGGAGATGGACCTTCTTGGGAAGCTTATCACCTTGGAAGGTTGCTCAGTGTTGACATAACTCATTGTTGAAGTCCCTTCTCCAATTTCTTCCCCTTCCAGGTTAATGTATGCATCTGAAGTCCTCTGAGCCTCCTCCAAGAAAACCCTCAGCTCCTGTTTCAGAGGGCTGCTCCTCGATACTCTTTCTGGCAAGTACCTGAAACTCTCACACTGCCTTTCCTCTGGGATTTCATCGTCGACCCGGTACCTCTTCCTTGCTTGATCAATGAAAGGCTTCACCTGCCTCTCCAGATCATCCCTGTGCTGGTACTTCTTGCGGAGCTCGGTTTCAGATGAGTCACACATTGCTCTCTGTGCCTCCAGTCTCGCCATCAGAGTACTGGTTGCAGCCTGGTTCAGCCTGAGTTGTTCCTTGTACACAACGCTCCTGCATTTTGCACCACAATGAAAAAAATTAGCACCAGCTAATCAAGATTCTTCAAAAGAAACTAGCAGCTCTTGGTTTTATAGGATCATCCTCCTTACTGGTGCATGGCGTCTCTGATCATCTTCTCGAGCACTGTCTTGTAGTTGGCCTGGGCGTCTGCCAAGCGACGGCACTTCTCCACTCGCCGACGCCTCTTGATGAGCTGAGCCTCCAGGTCCTGGATGGCTACCCTCTCCTCCTCATTCTTCTGCTGCATCTCGCTCACCTCGTTCTCCAGTTCAGTGAGCTCAGCTTGCTTCTTCTTGGCCTCTTCTCGTTGCCTCAGCGAGTCCCTAGCCATGACGATGGACAGGTAAGGATTGGTGATGTAGCCGTCAACATCTGGGTTGTTGTTCTCTTTCATCATCGAGTTACCACCATGGCCGTGGGCGGCCAGGTTCTCGTCCTTCTCGCCGGAGAACTTCTTTGCAGCTACACGAAAAGCAGCCCCTCAATCATCCATAGCTCATATGCAGATGTGACGAAAACCAGGAAATTAATGCAAGAAATTCTCTGACAAGCGCATACCGATCAGGGGGTAATTGGACCTCACTGGTCTGTTGGCGTCAACTGATTTGAGCACCGAACAGTCGGAGCCCCTGGCGGATACGATGGCGGCGGGCGCGAGGCCTACTTTCTTCTTCATCTCGGCGAAATGGTGCGGGAACGCGTGCGCCTCCACCGCCTGCAGCGAGCTCAGCTCCTCGTTGGCCCCGTCGGCGAAGAGGAACGCGAATGCTCTGTTCCTGCACGTACAACAGTTTCAGAACAATCCGTCTGTCCACCTGAAACCTGTTGGTATACTCAGGGTGAGCAAAGGGCGTCGGACAGGAGCTCACCTGAAGTCGGTGTTCTTGGAGGCGAAGATGGAGAGGAACTGGTTGACGGAGATGCCGAGCTGCAGATCCCACCAGGGGACGAGGAACTCCAGCTTGTTGTGCTTCTTCCTGGACGCCTGCAGCTGCATGATCCGCAGGTTGCTCGGAACCGTCCTCCCTCCCCCTGCAGATCGAGGAAAACCAAGCATCCGTCCACCGTCCGTCAGAGTTCAGAACCATGTGGTAGATTCAGAACCAGCAAGGAACATGTAGTAAAATCCTTCTTACTGGCGCAGGGGAACCAGTGGTGGACGTCCCAGGCGAGGGGCGAGGCGGCGTCGGCGTGGAGGTAGAGCACGTTCCCGTAGGCGTCGACGCGGAAGAGCGCCGGGTCGAAGCCGGCGTTGCCGAGGTGGTCGAGCTGCTTCCAGAGCAGGTTGGCGAAGCCGCGCGGGTTGGCGGTGGGCGCCGCCTCCGCGTCCACCACCGGGAACGTCTCGTTCAGCTCCTTGGCCCGCAGCGCCTGCACGCACCAGACCAGATCAGATCACGACGCGGCGGAGGTCGAAGCGGGGCGAGCGGATCTGCGCGAGCGAGAAAAGGCAGGTACCTCGTGGGGCTGGAGGACGTAGGGGAGGAAGGCGCCGGGCGGGCCGTGGGCGTAGGGGAGGCCGAGCGCGCCCCCGCCGGCGCGGCAGAGCCTGGCGTAGGCCTTGGGGTAGCCCAGCGCGTCGTCCACCGCCCTCTCCTCCTCCGTGAACGCCGCCATCGATCCGCGAACGCCGCCGGCGAACCTACGGAGCAATGTTGACTGATGTGTCGGGAATCGGGATCAGGTGCCTGATGATGACTGAGGTGTGTACGGGCTGCGGAGCGGTGAAATACAGCTGATTATTTTGGCTTTCTTCTGCCGGAGCGGAGGAGCGTTGCGTCTCTCTGCGCAACGGTCGGCACGGATGGGGACGGACGGCGAGAGCCGTTGGGTTGGGGCTGGTTCAAACTCGGCACGTGAGGGGGCACGTGGGGCGGGGGCGAGTGAGTCTGGCTTGTGGGGTGGGGCGGCGGACGGCAAGTGCGTACTGTGCACAGCTGGCGTACACTACGTACTGTAGTGAGTATACGTAGTACGAGATTGTATACGCGTATTATTTTCTCCTTATTTATGGCGACGATTAATTACGGATTGATGTGGGGAATGCTTTGATGAGTTGGCATTGAATGACTGATCCGTGCGTGTCAGAAGGACACAACGTGCAGAGTGGGCGCCGCGGAGTTTTGTTTAGGACGGCAGCCGGTCCACACACCCACAGATGGATTTAAAACCCATGGTTTTGTTTGTTTCGGCCGGTTTGAAATCCGTGGTGAGCACGAGCCCAACACGACCCCGGGCATCTTAGTGCGTGCGCACATACGCGTACACGCGTATATTTTTCCTTTGCGTGGCACGTACATGTGTGACGCATACCTGTAGAGCTAGCTAGCGTACGGTACGTTGCCTACAATTGATCCCATGCCCGCGCAAGAAAACGACCGACCTGCACGGTACGCTATGAATGCTACCATGCACCATGGCATGCATGCATACATGCACTTATATTTTTAGATTAAAAAAAGTCAACAAACCCGGTCTTCCTTGCCACATCATCAAATCCACTCCTAAAAGAGTATCAAGGTTAAAAATGACCGGGATTAAAGAGGATAGAGTATGGACTTCAGGGATTTAGAGGTGAGGGTTTGCTTTTGACCGACACTACAATCTTAAGGTTTAAATCAAACTTTACTCTTTCCTGAATATTCTTTTAATTTTTTAATCCCTTTTTGAAATTCTGAACAATTATTGAAAACATGAACAAAATTTTAAAACCAGAACAATTTTTGAAATTCCAAACATTTTTGAAAGCAACGAACATTTTTACAAAATATTTATTTTTTCGCAATTTGTGATTTTCTTTAAAAAAGGAAAAGATAAAACGAAAGCGCGATAAAAGACCAAACAAACAAAAAAGATCGAGGAACCTTCTAGAGAGATTCAAAAACAGGTAAAAACAAACAAGAAACGCTGAAAAAGGCTCACAAACCAGGGGTCGATGTAACCTATGTGGGCCCGCCAATCGCCATTCCCGTGTGTGAAACCTTGACTATGATCGTCCTTACTATTGTTGCCATTATATGTCAATGCGGGCAAGGCATCGGACGGACAACATGCCGTCTGGACACTTATATGGAGGTGCCCTGCACCACCAA